TGTCCCCCTGGACTCAAGCACAGACACAACCCCCTCACAGGGGTTGACCAAACCATCGAGTCCCTGGATTCCTTTAACAGAATACCCTTCACATAGGGATGGCGAGAGCGTTCTCCCATCCCTATCACTTGAACCAGAGCCTATCCGCAACCTTACAAGTTGTGACGATTTGCTATGCGGCAGGCGAAACCCAAATGGCAACAGCCAATCAGCCAAGTGGGGAAAATTCCTGCCATGCCCCTGTCCCAACGACAGACGACGGCATAGCAAGGTCAAGCGCAACAAGCCCTAAAAGTAGGGAGAGGTGGGCGGGTGTTCTGATTGCACGCGCCGAAAGAAGAAGCTCCGGGTCACGTGCATGGGCATAAATAGGTCCCCTGAACTGTTTCAGATTGCATCCCATGGGCCAGATTGTACCCAGCTTCGAGGGACCTACCAATCGGGTTTTGTGGCTTACCAAATGTTCCCACCCACAACACAGGGTTGCGGTTGTCCAGGTCTCACAGCAATACGTGCCCTCTTTAAGGGAGGACCCAATTTGTGGCCACAGGAGGTCAAATCCCATGGACAATTGGGAGTACACCAGGAATGCCCTCTCCCAAATGGTCCTCATAATCTGGATTGAGCATTATCTGGCTCTACGAAGAGCAAATGGATATTCTGGGAGTACTCCTATTCAGCATCCGCATTTGAAAACCGAAGATGCTGCTGTAGCTGTCAGAATCGGGCAGTACCTGACATCAGAAAGTATTTGACAAGATTCAACTGCTGAAATAAAGTAGATGTCAGCACATGACAGCCTCAGATATGTAGCATTCAGCATTTCACATTACATGACAGAGGACAGGCGGTAGAAATCAGGATTTGACAGATTTGGAATGCTGATGCAATAGAAGTGACTGGATTCAACGCTGATTTCATTCATTCATCTCATCAGAACTTGCAGTTGCAAAAATTTGACGTCAGATTACAACTTTGGTATTGGATTGTCAGAATTCAGTGTCAAATTTCACCCGCAGAATCCAAATTTGAAAATTTGCTTGAATTTGAAATGTGAGGCATTTTCATTCTGGCTCTGATGCAAAGTCTTGGAAATACTTTGGGTTGCCCATTGCATTTCTGGTGTGTACTGAGCATGCATGTGCAGATAATGTATATCTGAGCAGTTGACATTTGAATGGTGTTTACACTATTCCATCCTCTGGTGCATGTGCAGAGTAGAGTGACTAAGATAAACAAGCGTCTGGAAAGGTTGAGGGAGCTGAGTATGTTTAGCCTGGAAAAGAGGAGACTGAGAAGACACATGATAGCCATCTTCAGATATCTCAGGGACTTCCATATGGAAGAGGGAACAAGCTTGTTTTCTCCTTGTTTAGAAAGTAGGACCTGAAGCAGTAGATTCAAGCTACAACTTAACATCATAAATAACTTTCTGATGGTAAGAGCTGCTCATCAGTGGAACAGACTCCCTCAGGAGGTTGTGGACTCTCCTTCCTTGGAGGTTTTTAAGCTGAGGTTGGATAGCCATCTGTCATGTACGCTTTAGTTGAGATTCCTGCATTGCAGGGAGTTATATTAGATGACTCTTGGGGTCCCTTCCAACTGTAGGATTCTATGATTCTATGAACAGTCTATCCTCTTCAGAACACAGGTCAAAACCAGCACTTTGAATTGGGCCCAGAAACTAGCTGGTAGCCAGTGCAGTTGGACCAGGATCGGTGTAATATGCTCAAACCGTCTTGCCACCTGGCCACCAAATTCTGCACCAGCTGAAGTTTCTGAAACATCTTCCCACCACAGGGGTACCTATTTATCTACTTGTACTGGTGTGCTTATGAACTGCTAGGTTGGCAGGAGCTGGGACAGAGCAATGGGAGCTCAGCCCATTGCATGGATTCAAATTGCCGACCTTCTGAGGCTCAGTGGTTTAGACCACAGTGCCACCCGCGCACCATATCCTGTAGTACCCCCAAGCTATGTACCCACTCCTTGGCAGTGTAGCCGCATCAAGAGCAGGCCACCTCCCAGCATTCTGGTCTAGGGAACTGCCCACTAACAGTGTCTTAGCTACATTAGCTACCTTCAGAAACTAACAACTAAATGCAGCAGCTAGACTGGTGACTGGGAGTGGCCGTCAGTACCATATAACACCAGCCCGGAAGGATCTTCACTGGTTCCCAGTACATTTCCAAGTACAATTCAAAATGTTTGTGCGGACCTTTAAAGCTCTAAACAGTCTCGGCCCTGTATACCTGAAGGAGCGTCTCCACCTCCAATGTTCAGCCCGGACACTGAGGTCCAGCTCCAAGGGCTTTCAGGTGGTTCTCTCACTGTGAGAAGTGAGGTTACAGGGAACCAGGCAGAGGGCCTTTTTGGTAGTGTCACCCTCCCTGTGGAACGCCCTCCCACCAGATGTCAAAGAGAACAACTACTACCAGACTTTTAGATGACATCTGAAGGCAGCCCTGTTTAGGGAATCTTTTAATGTTTGATGCATTACTGTATTTTAATATTGTGTTGGAAGCTGCCCAGAGTGGCTGGGGAAACCCAGCCAGATGGGTGGGGTATAAATAAATAGATAAATAAATTAATAATAATAATAATATCTGGATTGAGCTTCAGTTTGTTGGCTCCCTGAAACCCTGAAGGGTTGCTGTCTGCCAGTGTGGGCAATACTGAGCTCAATGAAGCAGTGGTCTGACACGGCACAAGGTGGTTTCTTAGATTCCTGCACTCCACATTCACCTGTGTTGCAGTGTACCTGACCCAATTTTTCCTCCCAAGTGAAAAATCACTGACAGCACCACATCCCCTTTTCTGTTTCCCTTCGCTTCCCATCCAAATCCTGTTCAGATTTGGGTTGCTATTTCTATATTCCTATCTCGATTGCAAAAAAATAAAAGTCTGTTTAAAATAATAGCAATAAGTTCCAAAGAGCGCAGGATGAACAATGGCAATGGAGAAAGAGAGAGAGAGAGAAAAAACATGAAATTAAAGCGACCCAACTTTTGTGCGCTCTTTCAAAAGAAAACGCTCTTTCGGAACGGCTCCGCCTGCATTAAACCGGTCGCGACCTCCCAGGTGTCTTTAAGGCTGAAGTGTTTCTTGGACCATTTAAAGCTACTCTGGCTGGGCTCATGTGACCCGCCTGACATTGGGAGATGGGGCTTTTAAGAACACCGCCACCTTGTCAATGGAACAGAGGTCACTAATAGCCTGCCTTGGGCCTTCCGACGGGGTCGCATTCAGATTGCGAGCCCCCGCGCACAAAAGGAAAGAGAAAGGAGAGGAAGCCGGCCCTGGAAGGGGTGAAGGAGGAGACGGGGGTAATTATCGTTCTTCCTCTCTCCCCCCACCCTGCCCCCCCACTCCTCCTCATCCTTCACCCCCCCTCTCTCCAGGCTTAGAGTTATGCTCCGTGTCACTTTGTTAATGTGCTTGCATCCAGAGAGAGACACATAATGCCCCTCTCTCCGTCCTGTTTATTAGCGAGATCCATTTGCGCCAGGGTCTCTCCTTTTATTTTTTTTTATGCCGCGACGTGAATGTGCTTTGATAGCAAATAATTACTGTGGTCCTTTTGACATGGAGGATCTACAGGCTGCCCTAGTTAAGCCAGTAATTAGCTTGTCCTCGTTCTCGCCCCCCCTTCCCTCTTATTATTAGTATTATTATTATTATTGAGAAAGTACAAATTATCCTTGTATGAGTACTGGCCATCAATTCCCCCCCGCCCCGCTCTTCGCCCATCCCTTTCCTTCTTGCATTCTCCTCTCTCTCTCTCTCTCTCTCTCTCTCTCTCTCTCTCCTGTATCTCTCAGCACTTTGGATAAGCAGAATGCAGCTGCACCCGAACATGATAAAGCTCCTCCATCAAGATGATGAACAATTTGGATGAAGAGCCTTCGAGATGAAGACAAAAGCTGAAGAAGTGAAGCTGATACAACCCAAGACAGCTAAAGAATGCAGGCAGCCTGCAGATGAATAGCCCTCATTTGTGAATATACAGATTTTCCGTGATGAATAAAAACGGAGTGTAGGTCACAATAAATAAACTTTTTTCTCTTCTTCTTCTTCTTCTCTCTCTCCCTCCCTCCCCCCCCCCCGCTCCCAACCCCGCTTTAAATAATAATTCAGGTTCCCGGCACCAAACAGCTGTAAATTGAAGGTTGTGCTTAGTTTTTTGTAAGTCTCACAGGGAATAATTAAGCTAAGCTCATATTGTTTGATATATTAGGGTAATGACGAGCTGGTATAATCTAGCTTGTTCGTTATTTTCGGGGTGTTGTTTTTAGTTTGCTGTTTGTTTTTTCATTATCTTTGCGGTTCCATTAAGATTACACGTTAAATGTAGAAAAATAACAGTTCGGAAAGCAGCCCGGTCTGCGTGCTGATGTATTTGAAATGAATTCTTAGAATATTTAATTAAAGTAGGAGCTTATTTTCTTTCTGAGGCGGGTGGTGGGAAGCTAAGGTAAGAAAAAAAAGAGAGAGAGAAATTCACATTATCTGATGTGGCCTGACATGATCACTTCAAACCTACTGGTCCTTCCTCCTCATTGGTGGAAGATAATTAGACTGGGATATCTTCATTGTCAATTGAGTCCATCATTAACCTCCCGAAACTTCCGTGTCAGTATTTCTGAGAGAAAAAAAAAAAGAAACAAAAAAACCAGGGGGAAGTGTGATATTTTCCTAATTTTTTCAACGTGAAAGCAAATCATTCCTGAAATCTACTGTTCTGGTAATAGCAGATTTTGCAATAATCAATTCAGTTACACATATGTGCCCCAAAGGAGCTTGATAATGATTTATTATTATTATTATTATTATTATTATTATCTTTGGTCTGGTATATATGGTGGATTGATTCGTCAAGCCTAGCGGGAATTCAAGAAGACCCTGGATTACCACAGATTAGCTCATCCCTGGTGTTACGTTTTGGACTTGCCAAAAATTGGCATTGCATGTTATGTCTACAATTCTATACATCAGGGATGGGATAGCACAGTCTGTAGAGCATGAGACTCTTAATCTCAGAGTCGTGGGTTTGAGCCCCTTGTTGGGCAACAGATTCCTGCATTGCAGGGGGTTGGACTAGATGACTCTTGTGGTCCCTTGCAAACTTACAATTCTGTGATTCAAGGCCCTATTGAGTCCAAGGTCTGCATTCCCTTCTAGGCAACTTTTCTGGAGGCCGCATGCTCATGGTGGAGCAAAACACCTGTGCTGGTCCCGTGGGTAGATCAAGAGGCGAGGTCCTAGTCCGGTCCAAGGTCGAAGGAGCAATATGGAAGCAGTCCATAAAAGCTGAGGCTGGGTGCAGGGCAGGGTTCAGGCAGGAACTGGTGACCAACAATGTTGCTTCCACAACTTGGGCCTGGGGCTGGCCGGCTTTTATCTGCCCCAAGGCATAGGGCAGCCACAATCCTCAGGTTACTCACCTCTCCTGGCCTGGAGGTGAGCACTCCTCTTGCAGGAACTTAGTTCCCTCAGCCTCTCTGCCCTGAGCCTCTGCAGCCCAGGAGAGGCTGGAGGGTTATCGGACCCAGAGGCAACCTCAGCTGAGGTGCTCCTCAGCTGAGGTGAGGGGCTGAGAGTGGAGCACCTGCAGGCAATGGGTCCTCCATCACCTCAGGAGCCAGAGCAGACTCAGCTGATGCCCACACCTGAGGATCCAGCACAGGTGAGGACCCTTCAGGCACATGCCCCAGCCCCAGCTCAGCTGGTTCTGGAGGCGGGGAATCCTGTGCAGGCTGCGATTCCTCAGGTTCAGCATCCGACTCCGAATCCCAGGCCATCACAGCACCGCTCTCTATCATTGTGAGAGTTCTGATACCCATTCCAGCTGGGCAAAACCACTCATGGAGGGTGCAGGAAAAGGGAGGCGAGGGGTGTGGCCTGGGGAGAAGGGGTGTGGCCTGGGCGAGTGCCAAGGGCCAATCAGAGTTCAAGGTATCCCATACCTGCTATACACACTGACCTTGCAGTAAGCCCTTTTGAACTTAGTCATCCTATTGAATAGACATGCACACGATTGGACTGTGATGCACACAAATAAATATATAATGTATGCTCAGAGGAGATTTTCCAAACAGTGAAGTCTGCCGTTATTTGGACTCCTAGCTGAAGTGCCAGGTTGCCACTGCCAGGACTTCAGGGTTTCATTTAATCCACGTTGCCCAACTCCAATAGCTGAAAGGCTCGCTGTCGCTCAGAGCATCAGGCTGTTACTACTCACTTTCAAATAACGTATTTTTTGTCCCATAAGACACACCTGACCTTAAGACGCACCTAGTTTTTAGAGGGGGAATGCAAGAAAAAAAAAATATTTAAAGGGAGCACTGAACAGAGCCTGTATGCCTTTCTCCCTCCTCGGGAAAAAGCCCCCAAGAGCTGCACACATGCTCCAAGCGGCTCTTTAAAGGGAGCACGGCTCTTGGGGGCTTTTCTGGGAGGTGGGGGAAGGGACACAGCTGTGCGCTCTGTCCCTTCCCCCACCTCCCGCAAAAGCCAGGGATAGCCCCGTGCAGCCTTTGCAGGGCACGGGGATGAAGGCTCCCCGTGCCCTGTGGAGACTTCGCACAAAGCTAGAACAGATAGAGGGAGCGCTACTCTATTCCAAACTTAAAAATGGAAAGCTTAATGGTGTTGGTCAACAAAAGAGGTTCAAAAACTCTCTCAAGGCAAATCTTAAAAAAAATGTAGCATGTCTAAACACTGACAACTGGGAAACACTGGCCTGCGAGTGCTCCAGTTGGAGAACAGCCTTTACCAAAGGTGTCACGGGCTTTGAAGACACTCAAACTCAGGATGAAAGGGAGAAACGTGCTAAGAGGAAGGGACGCTTGGCATACCCTCACCATGATCAACTCCCACCCAGAAACCTATGCCCCAACTGTGGAAGGACATGTGGATCCAGAACTGGCCTCCACAGGCACTAAGGGACTCATTTTTAAAATCGTGTTTATGGAAGACAATCTTACTTGGCTACGAGTGATCGCCAAAGAAGAAGACAAATTTTATAAACAATAAACAATAATACCCAAAGATGCTGGGGATTGGACCTTCGACCTTGACCAGACATACCATTTGCTCCACCACTGAACTGTCCTTCCCCAGATTGGACCCCCTGAAAAACAAAGAAGCCTTGATTGCTCAGAGAGTACCTATGTGTGTTCATGTGTCCGCAGGTTCTGAAGAATGTGTGGTAGCCAGGGGTGGCACCAGCGCCTGTAATCCCAGTGTTCCCTCGGGTCTTCCTTTCTGCATGTGTCAGGGGACTGCCATCGGAACAGGGGAGGGAGGCAGGGAGGCCGTTGGGATACTGAGAGCCTCCGAAACTCCTGAGGAGCAGTTCCTCTTTCAGCGGTGGGAAAAGCCACACCTCCAGTGGAGAAGAGAGGGAAGGAGCCAGCCAAGCAGGGAAAGGGCTTGAGGATGCTGCTGAGAGCCCCAGTGCCTCACCTTGCCGGGCTGGCCAGGAGGGACGCACGCCACTTCCGCCGCCCAAGGAGGGGAGGAAGAGGCTTGGGGTGCCCAAGTTCTTATGTTGGGGGAGAAGCCGGAAGGGGCCACTCCCAGATTCTGCAAGTGACTGAGACGGACATGAACTTTGTAGATCTGCACTGTAAATACAGTTTGCACAATAAAAGACAGGTCGGAGTCCTGACTGGTTACTCAAGAACAACCACCAGCAGCATCTGACAGCATGCTTCCATGCAACAATAGCCACAGGAACATAGAAAGCTGCCTGATATTGCTTCCTGAACCAATGCCTTCAAGTTACAAGAAAGGAAATTCCGACTAAACATCAGGAAGAACTTTCTGACAGGAAGAGCTATTCGGCAGTGGAAAGATCTCCCTCGGAAGGTGGTGGACTCTCCCTCCTTGGAGGTTTTTAAGCAGCGGTTGGACGGCCATGGATGCTTTAGTTGAGCTTCCTGCATTGTAGCGGGTTGGACTAGATGACCCTTGGTGCACCTTCCAGCCCGACAATTCTATGATCCTGTGATTCAGCAGAAGGCAGCTTGCCTATGTGCCTTTGAAGGAAATGGCCAGACACTGATTCGAAAAAAAGAAAGGGGGAGCAGAGGAAAAAAACAGAACAAGGACCCTCCCAGCCAGGCAGCCTTGTAAAATAACTCTAAACAGTAAACCGAAAACAGTGATTACTGCTGTTGTTTATGCTGACATTAAGAAAGTCGTTAACCACCTTCCCACCGGATTATGTTCCTGTAGCCAATGTGCCAGTGAAAGGTGGAAGCTCCCCCCCACTTTTAACGATTCAACATTACATCAAAATGTCACCAGAGTAGTGACATTAAAGACCCGATAACACGGGGCAAGGTTTCTTTGTCTTAATATATGCTGCTTGGCACACCGATCCCATGGAAGGTGGTGGTGGGGGTTTGCTTTAAGGACATAGCGCACCCTTTGCGGCCTCAGATCCCTGTATGCTCACCCTCCTTATCTCTTCGAACCCGGGGCTCATAGCAACAGCTGAGCACGACTATAACAACCGTACTCAAGTGCATTTAAATAGGAATCCATCATTGGAAGCATCGGGGGGGGGGACAAATAAGGTGCATGTTGTTCGTGATGATTATACTTCTGTAATTGACACGAGAGGCAGGGACGGCCAGCAGTTTGGGTGGCTTTAAAAGACGATTTTAAAAGCACAGACTCGGACTATGGGTGGCTACTAAGCAAGACAGTTATCTTCTGCTTCCAGTGTCAAAAGCTGGTGCCAAACGTATTGCTCAGCCCAGGGCCTACTAAGGCTTGTGCTCCAAGGAAGTCACTTCAGTGCTACTAACACAGGGGTTTGAAACACTCAATTGTTTATTGAAATAGACACAACAACTTTCAAAGCCATCCAAGTTGGTGAGGGGGGGGGAGAGAAACTTTCTGCTGTCCACCAGGCAATGGCTTTTTTGTTAAAATTTATTTATTTGGTTTTTCACATTACAGTTTTAAAGTCACATATCCAGCATACAACATAAAAACAAAATTCCATAGAATCTTCTGGACTTCCCTTGTCCCCTTTGTGGGTGAGCTCCCATTGCTCGGTCCCTGCTCCTGCCAACCTAGCAGTTCGAAAGCACAAAGTGCAAGTAGGTAAATAGGTACCGCTCCGGCGGGAAGGTAAATGGCGTTTCTGTGCGCCACTCTGGTTCACCAGAAGCGGCTTAGGTCATGCTGGCCACATGACCCAGAAGCTGTATGCCGGCTCCCTCGGCCAATAAAGCGAGATGCGCGCCACAACCCCAGAGTCGGCCACGACTGGACCTAATGGTCAAGGGTCCCTTTACCTTTACCTAATATCTGTGTCTTGGTGTCTTATTCTTTACAAGGGGGTGGTTGCAGGGTCTCGAGACGCAACATCTTGTACCATAAACACATCCTCCACTCTGGTCCCCTATCAGGCTGGGGCCTGATATGGCAAGAGCTTTAGCAACAAAGCAGCATGGATGCCCCAGGTTGTTCTGCTCCTTCAAAACACTCAACGTTTGCCTAGATATATTCCACATGCAGAAAAACTTCCAACTTCATTCCCAATAATCTCCAGATAGGGTCGTCTGCAAGGGATTCCAGCAGGGCAGTGTTGAGACTGCCAGCCTTCATGTCCTGTTTGCAGACATCTTTGTAACGTGGAGTTAGTCTGCCTGAAGCCAGTTCCCCATAGAACACATCCTTGGTGATCCTGAGATGGCGGGTGCCATGATTTGCTATGTAATTTCCGAGAGAGTTTTCCTCTATATGGTTGGTTGAATGTCTCCTCGCTATGTACAAGGCTTGAACTGAGAAAAGCAAAAGCTCTCTGTTGTTTTCTCCTAAAATTGGTAAAGGTAAAGGGACCCCTGACCATTAGGTCCAGTCGCGGACAACTCTGGGGTTGCGGCACTCATCTCACTTTATTGGCTGAGGGAGCCAGCGTACAACTTCCAGGTCATGTGGCCAGCATGACTAAGCCGCTTCTGGCGAACCAAAGCAGCACACAGAAACGCCATTTACCTTCCCGCCGGAGTGGTACCTATTTATCTACTTGCACTTTGACGTGCTTTTGAAC